CAGGACACGGGTCCCAAACCTGCCATTTGCATCGAGCCCTGAGTTTCACAATTAGCCAAATTAGAGCTCGTGCGAAATCGAAATGCGAGGGTACATACTATGATGGAGTAGGGGGGCTTTCGTTCAATGGTTGCGCCGTCTCCTAGATCTGGGGCATTAGGAATCTGATCATGCCATTCCTCCATCTCAACTCTGAAACGGACAATTTCTCCTATGTCGAAGTAGAATGTTGAGCCATCTTCATTTTCCCAAACCCACACCTGATCGGCAATGTCACTGTGTCCTGGTGAGCCAATATGTACTTGCGACAGTCTGGAGAAAGATGGTTGCTTACAATCGAGCGCCGTCCAACAGAAGATCCGGGGGAATAAGAATATCATTGAAAAATTCTACACCAACTGTTTTTGTATTAGCAAGAGTATAGTGACCGCGAGCTTAAAGCAGTTGCATACTCTTAATCCCGTGTTGAGTAGCACTGGAGATCTTGCCGAGTAGGATTTCTCCTTTGAACGGCCGGAAGACGATGAGCCGGAATTTCACTATGGAGAATCAGTAAAGCAGTTATCTTCAGCTGGGAAATCATTCCAGACATACCGTTTACGTTGACCAAGCCTGTGCCATGGCCTATTAAACCATCCGACGATTCTAACAAGTCATAGAATCCAATGCAAAGGCCAATTTTTTGAATGACCTGCACAAGCGAACCATGTCAGTCAAGGCGACTGCCACGTCGATCAGGGTGACTTCACCGTACTTTATTTGCATACTTTTCGTTAATATTGTCCTCGATTGCGACAGCGCTGTACTTGGAGAAGTCTTCAGGAGAGATCTGGATGAGATCTGAGACGGTTGTCTGCCTCGCTGCAGTCAGCTTGTCTATCCATGACATGATAAACTAAATTTGATCAAGGACGTCTCAACTGACAAGAATAAACATTTTTGAATATGTTACAGGGGAACGAGGTATCGCATGAGCAGCGATCACGATATGTAGTTTCTATTTCCGCACAGTCGCAGAGAGGATTAGCGGCAAGACAAAACTTGCATTCTAACCATGCAGGACGCTGAGACGGCCCCTTCTAAATTATGTTTCCAGTAATCACAGGTTCATGACATTATAGGAGTGTATCTGAATCTGCAACAAGAGAAGTTCAAAAGATCAATCGCGGATTGCCTCGACCAATCGCATGTTGCGGATCCGGCCTGGTTGCTCTTAATTTTTTTCCTCCTACGTTTGATAGCCAGAACCTAGCACGTGACTTCTCCACTGTGTCTTACTCGGGCTTTACAGTACTCGGTAAGGCAATGACAGTTCGGATCTCGGAACGGAACAACAACTTTGGAGCTTCGGTCCTAAAGAAGCGATCAGAAGTGATCGGAGGTTTTCTCAGGTCTCCGGGATGGCGTGAGAGGATGGCATCGATGCTGTCACTCATTCGAGGGCCTGCAGAGATCTTCCCGCAATGAGCTCCCAGGGATTCTCATTTCCTCCCCCTCCTCCTCCTCCCCCTCCTTCTTCTCAGCAACAGCAGCCACCTCAGTCAGCTTTTCCGTCTGGGCCTCCACAATACGGTTACGGTTCTTATGGTCAGCGAGGTGGACGAGGCGCCGGAGGGCACAACAGAGGTCGTGGCAGAGGGTTTGGGAATCGAGGAGGTCGGGGAGGCTCCTTTGTTCCCCACCATGCCAACCATAGCCCGACCTATTCCTCTACGCCGTCATCTTTCGGTTATGGGTCGATAAACTATACCGGGTTTACGCCTCAATCTCAGCCTACTGTCTCTCGCAATATTCCATCGCCACATATTGCGTCTTTAGGGTCACCAGGTTTCCAACACCAGTCCAATACATCCTCCTACGCGTCCCCGCAACGCTTTTCGCAGCCGCCAGTCGTTCTCGGATCTCCATATCAGCCACAACCTAGCTATGATGCAGCTTACGCCCCTCCAAATGCGCAATCGAGTCTTTCGTACCCTTCTGTCGTGCATTCGACTCAACATACTCCTCAACCTGTACAAGCACCGATGATGAGTCCTCCAATGCGTTGGGGTTTTGAAGCGTCACCACCTACAGGAACCTTTGCTAGTCCTCGGCGTAGCAATCAATGGACGCCGCGGCAATCTAGCACACACCAGAACCAATCTTCCTCTGGTGGAAACTCAATGAAACATGGCGGAAAGCGGGATCATGCGTCGGCATTTGGAGGAAAACCGCAAACAGTTGCACCTTGCGTTCCTGCACCGCCTCCGGTCCCAAGCTTCGGCAACCCTCTACCTGTGAAACCTCCTCCGGCAGTTGATGCTGCAAATCCGAGAAAAAAGAAAAGAAAACACAACCAGTTAGGGCTTACCCCCAAAACCGAGGATCATGAATCGAGTGAGGAGGACGACGTGGATGAAGAATCCAAGTTGGCGCCTGCGGCTGCCGGTGCTACAGCGCCGTTGCGATTCACCTATAAAGGACGGACGTCCACACTCCAGTCACCCACAGACATTGCCGCATGGATTGAGGAACGGAAGAAACGTTTTCCGACGCAAGCAAAGGCTGAAGAGAAGAAAAAGGCCATGGAGGAGGCTAAGAAAGCCCGTGAAGAAGCTCTGAACAAGAAAAGGATTGAGAGGCAGGAGCAAAGACGAGCCCAGAAGGCCGCCAATGATAGACCAGAGAGCGTCGTTAATCCGGCGGATGCGGCCGCCAAGGCGAAACGAAAGGCTGATAAGCTTCAACGCAAGTTGCTAAAGGAGCAGGAACGGGTAGCGAAAGCGGAGGCGGATGCCGAGCGGGCTCGGCTCGAAGTTGAAAGGCTGCAACAGGTGGCCATGGAGGCGAGAAGAGGGTCAGAGTCTGCAACGCAGAAAACTGAAATTCAACCTTCCGTCGCTGCGGAAAAGGCGGACACAGAATCTGCTCAGAAAGTGGAGATACTCGGCTCCAAGGACAACAACTCGGAGACTGTGGCTGTCCCTGCCGAGAGTTCTGTCGCATCCATGGCCCCTGGGACAATGGTAACAAAGATTGAACCCGGTGACTCGGTAGAGAGTCGAAACGAGGAATCCGCCGCATCATCTTTCGACGATTCGGACAGCAGTGACTGGACGTCATCAAGTGGATCTGACATTTCTTCGGATTCCGACGAGAGCGATGATGATTCGGCCCCTGAGGAAGTGTCTTCGCGCCGTGAGGGGCCGGAGCGGGTAGCACCACCGCCTCGAGTTAATAAGAAGAAAGTGTGTCGCCATTTCGCCCGCAATGGGCGCTGCTTGCACGGGGAGAAGTGCCATTTTCTACACGAGTTGCCCGAAAGAGGCGCCAAAACAAAACCGGTGGAGAAAAAAGGACGGAGGGGACTCTTCCAAGCTGTAAGTATTCTTGGTCTTTAGCAAAGAAGGAAAACGGCATTTTTTCGGCCATTCAAAGGCTAACACGCAATTTACTAGCTGATCGAACGCCAAAAAGAGGACGAGGATCGGAGAGCCATGGAAGTGATTGTATGGCTCGGAGAGAACGGATTTCTGGATGCCCCAGAGGCCGAGGAAAGGGCGACTGGACACTCTCATACTGATGGGAACGAAGATGAGAACCGTGACTCTCACGAGACGAAAGACACAGTTGCTGCTGTCTAGGTGCTGGAATATCATGTTCTATATAACATCGGCGCCTTGTACATAAAATCCGTATACGAATTAGCTTCAGAACCAAATAGAGCCCTGAGTCTTTCAGTCTGGGCATCGAGGACGGTAGCAGCAGAGGACGCCAGACCTGAAAGTTGACCAAGTTGGAGTCTACCAGCGACTATTTCTGGTCCCTAGGGCATTTCCCTCCCAGAGGGGCGCATCCTTACCATATCGCGAATGTCCCTGTTTGGAAGCCGTCTTGAAAGTCATAATACGGAAAGGCTTCGTACCCGTACCGTAAGGTACTTAGCCTGGTACTTCCATTTAGATATTATAATTTATAGCGGGATGACCTTCCTTGGTCGTACTTGGTTACCTGCAACAGGCATGTATCTGGATGCTGCGAAGAAATATTTTTGTAATTTCGGTATTACATTTAGAGCCACCACAAGAATTACGGAATAGAAGATTGCTCAAAGTTTTGGTTTTCAGGTGCTAGGTATCTCCTACCGGATAACCAGAAATAAGCAATCATAGTTCACTCATCTTCTGTGAATCGGAGGTAAGGTATGATTATTCTGAGCAACCCACATATCAAAGACCTTAGTTCCTCCGCTTTCCAAAGACCCTCGGACAGATCGATCCCATGGCTCATTGCCACCACACACCATCAAGACTGATAGGCATCACTTAGTTCTCTCTTTTAGTCCTTTGCGACCTTAGCGTCAACTAGCTGGGGTCCCGACCGGGCTTTCATTGGAATTACTGGATCCTTCTCGACCAACTTATTTGGCTAAGCGAATAACTACGACTGACTTGGTCTAGCTGAACAAACGCCTTTCCCTAGAGAAGAAGAGACTAAGTCTGGCTAGGATTAGCCTCCTCGATGGCGTTATGCCCATTTATTCTGACTTTGCCTCTTCCCTTTGGGGGGCTGTGAACTTCAGGTTGATGAGACCGTCCTATTGGCTCTTCCTCGAGGATGACTGGCTCGTGGCTTCCTCACCATCTAACTACTGGCGCGAAATCTTTACCCAGATCCCCCCAAACGAGATGAGCTGACCAGGTTCCTTGGGTGTTGCGGAAGGTTAGGTAGGTTCTACTAGCCTAGCTCTTCCGGTTATTATTACTCGGTCTTATCTCCCCTTCTCCTCTTTCTTCCCTTTTTCTCCTTACTCTCCCTGCAGTCGATCTTTGCATTTACTCATCTTTCTGTCTGTCTTTAACCCCAGTCAGAATCCATTCCTTTCATTAAATACGTATATTCCAATTCAAAATCCCTTCGTTACAATCTTCCGGTATACTTTATCTTAGCCCCCGCTTTGCTACCTCATTTTTGGAAATTTATATATAATAGCGTCAACGAAAGTCTATACTTTAGTCAACATGCGTTCCATCATCTTCCTGTCTCTCAGCGCTCTCGCGGCCATCGCAGCTGCAGCTACCAAGGAGAATGCTTTCAACATCCCTGCCAACGGTTACCAGTTCAGTGCTGGTGAGCCCACTACATTGACCTGGGACCCTACCACCAGTGGAACTGTCACTCTCAAGCTCCAATGGGGCGATGTTTTCACTCCTGACTCTGGTTCAACCATTGTCTGTAAGTGTCTTAAGTTGAAATGAGTCTGGGGCGCTGCGCATATGCTAACGTACACTAGCGAGCATTCCCAATTCCGGAAGCTACACCTGGAATGTTCCTTCTAGCATTGCTTCTCGGCCTGATTACACCGTTGAGATCATTTCCGATGATGATACCTCCCAAACCAACTACTTGAACCGTTTCACGATTGCAGGAGCTACTGGTGTCGCGTCGAGCACGGCTACTGCCACTTCCACTAAGACCGCCTCTACCAAGTCTACCTCAACTACTACTAGCGGAACTCCTACCATGACCACTGTGACTTCGACCACTGCTTCTCCCTCCAGCAGCCCTTCGACCACCAGCAGCTCGTCTACCACTGAAACTTCGACTACTACCACCCAGGCTTCCCGCACGACCGCCACTACCTCGCCTACTTCGGTCCCCAACGCCAATGGCGGTATCATCAACCGGATCTCCGGTGGCATGATGGCGCTCGTCATGGGTGTGATTGCATTCATGTAAGCAGCATACGTTGCGAGCATTCTGGCGGCGAGTCACATCACGGCGATCGGGCTCGACACATTCGAATATATAGCTTTTGGCGTGTCCATTTCCTTTTTCGTTTGCACTTGCTTAGCTCGAATATGGTTGGATTACCGTTTTTGGGTATCTACCGTTTGTTCGTGGCCTGCGGATGGAAAAGGTGTAACATCCTTTTTGTGTCCGGTTCTCTCTATTCCTTTGGGCGATGCTTGCGGATTCATATGATCGCGTAACCTAATGGTCATTATTCGTTGTCGGGACCAGGGACTCTCGTCTGTTCGGGCACACTTTTTGTATGGTATGTAGATATGTTTACATTGTAATGAATGACTTGCTTTGACCTGCAGGAGGATGCGAGTAAACAATAAGGTTTTGTAAAAATCATCTGCATATTCTATGGTTCTAAACCTTCTGGCCCGTTCAAGAGACAATGAGGCTCTGCTGTAGCCGACGATCTTCAGGAACTACTAGTAGTATGAGTCGAAGATGACGCGGGGAATGGGAGTAGCCTGTTGCAATCATAAGCCCAATACATTTCAGAATCGAACGGATGGTTTTCAATGTCCCATCGGATGGCTGTGGGTCTCTAGCCGAAATGACCATTAGCAGAGTGAACATGTAATATGGCTCGGCAATTGCATGCACTTATCTACTCCGTACAGCCTCTGCTAAACTCATGAGCTGATCTTCTGTCAGGCATTACCTACCCACTACGGAGTAGTCCGTACGTCAACGGGCTATACGGGCTTAAACATCAATATCCGCTGAAGCCATGATTAGTCGGTATTCTGGCGGATTTGAGTATCTTGGTAAGATACTGATTCAGTCATTATTCATGCATAAATAGGGAGACACGTACATTACTGTAGATGTGCCTACATTATGCATGTACGACGTGCGCTTATGCCAGTAACCTAAGGTAGGTGCAGCTTCCAATCTCCAGTGGTTTTGTGTCGACTGATGTATTTTACTTGAATTGTATCTTACCATACCGTTTGTACTGAAAGTAAGGTACCCAAGGTACCTCAGAACGCTTCTCTCAGCCATCGATGACTGAGGACTGACGGTTTGAATGATGCGAGAAGGCTGAAGGGATTGGTTTGAGCTAGAGAGGAATAGATCTCTGCCTGTAAGTTCTTGTCATGCTTGTGACTGGATACCTGAGACTAGCCTACACGTTACCTACATACGTCCTACGAGGCTGAAGGCTGCTGCTAATAGCACGTGAAGATGACAGAACCCTTCTGTCGTGCGACATGCCATGCTTCGTTCTTACATATAAGCGGTTAGGGACTTTGAGCTTATTGTTTATCAATTCTGATTAACATTAAGAACGCTAATGATGCCACTCACAACACCGTAGGAGCACAGCTCCCAAGGTGACCTATGAAGTGTCTGAAACAGGAAGATGAATGATTAGAGAAAGCGGGCCCGAAAGGAGCATGGCATCATCTGTCATGCAGACCGAAGAGAAAAAAAAATAAAAGGCAGTTCTAAGCGGCAACCCATTGAGGACACACTCGCTTGATGAACTTCATGAACTTGAAGAACCCGACGGCATACTCGACATTACCGTGAGGATCAACTGTTCGCTCTGGAAAGGCTATACCAGCACCATATAAGCCCTTAACGAGTCGTCCACGTTGATCGTAGAATCCGCCGGTTTCATGATCAAAGTCGGGCTCCAATGGCGAACCATTCACGGAAAGCTCTGGCAGCGGATCCCGAGCGAAGCCAATGGCCTGAACAATGTGAGTGCAGAAGGGTAACTGCAGCTTAAACTGTGCCATTTCTTTACCACTGCTGCAGTCGACCTTGGTGATGAAACGGCCTGCCTCGGAGGTCGGTAAAACTTCATCTTCGAGCTGCTGGCGAGCAAAGTCCGCAGCGAGACCCTTGAGACCGGTGTTATCTCGGAGGATCCAACCGTCCATGTACTCGGCATACCGAAGAGGATGCCGGGTAAACCACTTGATGCGGAGCTGGGGATGAGAACTCCGGGCCAAATCTACCAGGTTGAGCAGAGCCAGAATGGCACTATGAGAAGCTCCTACAACGGCGATGGTCAAGGGCGTGTCTCGGGGAAGGTACGAGGCGAGTTCACTGGGCTTCAAAACATTGTCAAGGTCCAGCCTCTGAATTCTATGCCCAGAAACAGGTATCGGAGCAGTTGTCGGCGACGACCCCGTACACAGGATGAGTTTAGGTGTCTCAACTTCAAACTCGTCGGACGATCCTTGACTTTTGATCCGTACTGTCCAGGAAGAAGTCTATGGAACCGGGAAACGAAAGCATTAGCAAACTATCCGATTCCTCTCTGATTGATGTTGCCGTCCTTTGGTACTCCAAATGCAGGGTCTCAAACTAACCTTCTCCGCCAGATTGGCAGCAACGACGTAACCCTTGCATTGTACAACCCGATCCAATTTCACAATGCCCTCTGTTAAGGCCTGAACCATGTCTGCACCATGCTGCAACAGACATGTTTGATCTTGGTCAAGTTTCGCTAGAGTCGTGAAAGCATTGGGCATCCGTGTACTACTGATGACTGCACGGAATGGCTGGACACCTGTGGCATACGCTTGGAAGAAGGAGACCTTGGTGTTGCTGGACAGAACCCGAACAGTCAGCCGTAGAGTTCCTCTTCCGAAGCTTGCTCGGCTTCCCAAGCGCGTACAGAGCCGGAAATAGTCGTGCTCACCTAGGAACCTCGCGGTATTTCCTGCCCACACGTCCGGCCTGAAAGTAGGGATCAACCCAGGCAATTTTCCCACCAAGCTGCCTCTCAAGGAGATTTCCAACCACGGCCAGACCGGCAGGACCAGCTCCCACGACAACCGCAGCACATTTTTGAGGCGGATTCATGATTGTTGAACGATTTGGAGATATAGATGCAGAGAGCTTCGTAAATGAGATTTTATGGGACAACTCTGGAATTACCACACGAGGATATCTCAAGGGAGGTACTGAAGAATCATAGGGAGGGTGCGAATTAGCAGGGAAGCCGCCAGATGGTTAGAATCAGAGCCCGGCGTTTTTCTCGGTGAAAACAGCTATCAAGCGTCGTGACACCTTCTCCTAGGGAAAGAGGGGAGCCCGATGATCATATACATCGGGAAACGGCGAGCAAAGGGACGCAGGATGACAACAGCGAACAATAAACCCGCATCGCAGACTGTTTACCGCTTGTCCAGTCCATTGATATGGGGACGAGTAACAGAAACGGCTTGAAAGCGCGAATCAGGCATCTCGGACGATAGAACACATGGTGCGGACGTAATCAACCGTCCATAGAGAGCAAGGAAAGCCACGGATCATGCGGTGATGACAATCCCAAAGGGACTAACATACTCCATTCTCAACTCCCTGTCTCATTGACTCAAGATGTCGAAAGCCCGGGTATAGATGAGCAATCGGCGACTGAAACCGACTGCTGAGTGGTTGAAACTTTGATGGTTGCGCAACTGATGCACCAGGCCCCACTTGGACCTTGCGAGTGAATCGCCGACCGAGACGCTTCCCGTCGGCTCAGGCAAGAGAGAGAGAATGTCACGGGGGGATGTGCTCGTCGACGCCCTTCATCAAGGGGACAACGAGGGATCCAATGCAGTTCATGACTGTCACGGATTACGATCGTCGCAGGTTAGACGGACATTAATCTCATTCATGATGGAAAAGGAACAGCTCCCAAAGGTGCTGGTAGTGATGGAGGATGGAGAGTCCTTATATTCAAGCACGCGAGACCCATGCACGGACAGTCTTGGCACGATTGCGTGATTTCGACTAGAATGAGGTTATTACTGTTTGCCTGATTGGGAAGGTTGTTGCTATCTCAGGTGTCTGCAGAAGGATGCGGAGTTTAAGTTAAAGGGTCTATATATCGAGCAAGGGCTAGGAGTCACTTCCTGTCCACCAGCTAGCTACATTAGGGTTTGATCAAGTATCTGCTTTTTTTATATCGTTTCATTGATACTCAATATAACATGTGTTGTTGCATTGCCGTGTTATCTCTTTGGAAGCTGCTCGGGCTACGACTATTATAAGGCACGGAAAGCTCGTGACAAGGTCTCAATTTGAACACCGAAAATTAGAAGAATGTACATTCGCCATTTCATGATTACACGGCCCAGAATACCCGAACAGATATAAATTCGACATGGTTTGACCATCCTGGAAATCGTGCTCGTCCCCAGACAGCAATGGAGTCTCCCACGCCCAAGGTCCGGACTACACTCCCATCCAGCGTCGCCCGACCACGACCTTGCGAACGCTCAATCTCTTCGGCGTCAGCAGATTCAGCTTGGATTTTATCAAGGTAGTGCCAAGTGATTGTATATTCTTGTGTCTGTGATACTGCGGTCTTATTCATCTGAATTTTGCCAGGACCTGGCAAGAAATGTGAGTGCTGGGGACCGATCGGTTCCTGACGCTCCCCTTGACCAGTGGAATGGGCGTACGCTTGCGAATCCGTTTGGCCGCTGCCCTTTTGAGGGATTGCGTGTATGATCTCGACATCGAACCAGGTATATGACCCATCGTACGGACTTTCACCTCTAGGACCACCACCCCAACCCTGGTCATGGGACAAGATTCTGAAAACAATCTTGCGACAGGGGTGTATGGTCTGATGAGGAAGTACATTTGGGGATGCGCTTCCCAGTGTCTATCGATAGGTCATAAGATATCAGTGTCCATTACAGATAGAAGAAATGGAGGAAGTGGAGCTTAGATGATCGCCGGCTGCAGTCAAGGCAAGGTCTGCAACGTACCGCCTCATCATAACACAAAGGTGCCGTTCGTAGCAGCTCTCGGTCATGATCCTGTCTGATAATCGTCCTTGTGTCCATCCGAGCCTCGATTGAGGGCCAGTATTCGGCAGCCTCCATAATCATGTCGACAATCTCCATTGGCAACCCTTCCGAGGTGATCTTCCATCTCAAAATATGGCGAACCTTGAACACATCAAATACACCGGGATAGAAAATATCCGAGGCTGTATCTTGTGCTGGTTCGCTCGAAGAAGGGGTTGTATCGTCCGAGTCATTGAATGGCGGTTGACGAGGGGAACGGAAGCGGCGCATAATGGACGGGAACATCATATGAAACTAGAACCGATATCGTAAAGTGCGAGGGTATCTTTAAAGATTTTGAAAAGACGGCTACGTAGACGATAATTCAATATGTTTTGGAGGAAGTGTTCCGGCCAAGCCCAGGCATCAATAATAAAGGAGTTATCCTGTGTCCAGTCGAATAACACTGCTCAACGATCAAGGTCAACGCTGGTTGAAAAGCCGGTGGTTATAGATTTAGATGATAGATAGGTCTCATAGATGTCTCCCCATGGCGATTTTGCGTATATCGTGCCCCAAAGGCGAAGTCAGAATAGTTGCCGTTTCCCCACGTCAGGGCGGGGAGTTCAGGGGACTGTGGGTAACTCAGATCTCTGATGCTTAAGCATCAGTACTGGGTCAGATTTGTCTGGCCAGTGGCTTAGAAGCACAAATAACGGCCACAGACTAGAACTATAATAATGCGACGATGTTTAAGAATATTAAGAAGTATTCAAGGAGGTAACTCGGCAATCTAGATGAGATATACCTCTCTGTGTTCAGCTGATAAGAAATAGATAGTATATCTGATGACGTCAATGTTGTCCATGGGTTCTTTTACCACACCATCCACGTACTTCTATTGGGCGGCCCTCTAATATCTATATTGACTGAAAAGCAGCGCCGTGATGACTTTGAAATAATGCCATTTCAGATTCAGGAGAATGACCTTCTCAATGCGGTGAGGACATAGTTACGCTTCGTTGTAAGCAGTGCCAGGAACGGCCCACTGGGCAGATGGAAGAAAATGATACATGTAAAGACACCTATTTTGCCATCTTTCCTTTCCTGCCTCCAGCAGCCTGGTACGCTGCAGCTCGCTTGGCGCTCCGGTTCTTCGGCTTGCCTTTGGAGCCACGACTCTTGGTCTTAATTTTGATGCGCGATGATCCCTCTGTTGCACGATTACCTTCAAACACCACCGAGTTCCCGGATATAGACTTTCTCCCTTCGGCCTTCATCTTAGCCGCGCCGGCTCTACCAAAGAGCTTACCTGCACGACCTTGAAGCGTCGAAAAGCCCTCGCCGAGCGCTTTGCCGTGAGACCCAGTTTCTGGGCCATCACGCTTCTTGGGGAGCTTCTTGGCCCGTGTCACCCGGAGTTTCCGCGGCAGCATGGGAGGAAACTTCTTCCCGTCCAGCAAAAGTGCCTCCTCCACACAGACCTGATCATAAAACTGTACATAAGCAAAGCCTTTGCCCACGCGGGTAGTACGGTCACGGACTACCCGGACAGACTCGACATTGCCTTTGGTCGAGGTCCGTTCTTTAGATCCCTTGGTGTGAGCATTGAATGTGCGCCATAAACCTTCCTCAACGTCCGCGGGCCCCGACTTCTTCTTTTTCTTCTTCTCGTCTTCTTCCGGGTCGGTCTCGTTGTCCACGAAGTCAAGGTTGCCAACAAAGACACACCGTTTGTGGTCGATCTGGGAGGGATGTGCAACGCTGTCGACACGAAGGTGTCGATCTAGAACAACGGTGCCGTTCAAGGCTGCAGGTGCTTTCCGCGCTGCCTGCACCGTACTGTAGACAGCATATGCGTTGGTGCTTGGTGTAGTGTCATCCAATATCTCACGTCTAGCAAAGGCAGCTCGCTTGGGGACTTTTCCGCCGCTAGCGAAGGCCACGGACCGAAACCGAATTGATTCGACTTTGTGAGGCCCTGTAGATTCCGGAAGAGTGGAAAGAAAGGATGCCAGATGCTTCAATAGGGTCTTCTTCGCCGATTTGGACCTGATAACCTGGCTCGAGACATTGCCGAGGAAGACGGTACGGTTACTCTTTTCGAGTTCCTTGGACTCCGGATCACCGCTCTGAGTCTCGTGCTTGGGGACTGTAATTTCGTCCTCTTCCTCCGAACTTTCGTCATCCTCGTCTTTAGACTTGTCCGACACAGAATCAGAATCCTTTCCTTCCTCCTCAACTTTCTGCCTCTTTGCCTTCTCGGCGCGACGCTTTTCTTGTTCATTCTGTTCCTCCTTCGCTATACGCCGCATATAAGTCTCTTCGAGATCTTCCGCAGGGGCCCTTTTCCGTTTCTTGCTCGAAGTTGCCTGGGTATCCACGGCCGGCGTACTCTCAGCGTCACTGGCGACTTCCGAGACGTCCTGCATATCTTCATCTTCGCTTTCCAGGTCCTCCTCAAGCTCAGAAATTTCTTCATCGTCTTCTTCCTTTTCTACATCATCTTCTGGCTCGTTGTCCTTTCTCTGTGTGATAATGGGCTGCACAGACGGAGCTTTCACTGGACCGGCCTGAATGATTTGAGAGCGTTAGAAGACCCTTCTATTAGTCATGGGTAAGTACATACACTTTTTGCGAACAGTGAAGCCACCGTTGGGTCAATGGCGGCCTTTCCGCCCAAAAAAGGCAGAGTAACGTCTGTCTTGCCTGGTTGCGAGACATTGTCCGACTGAGCCTTACTTTTCTTGCCCATCTTCAGTCAGAATGGGGGAGATCTCTGTCGCCCTTTTGAAAATGTCGTTAGGCAATGAGGAAGATCAAACCAGTGGTTGAATTTCACACTATCAAAGCAATTACGCTTTTATCTTGCTTTCTTCGTTGCGTTTCCTAATTTTTTCTGCCTCGAAAAGAAAAAATATTTTGGCGACGGGAGCTGGATAAGATCACGTGCTTTATCGTATCAGCAAAGCCGAAAGAGTCGCAGCGTCCACAGTACAGAGACGTCTTACAGCTTGACCATCTGTTCTAATATTTTTCATGAGAGATTCTTACGCGCGCATATCAGATATATTA